AAGATTTTAACCCTGTGTTTAAATTTTAACTCGTCGATTTCGGCGAGTTAAATATTTAACCACAGGGTTAAATATTTAACCTCACGGTTAAAGTTCAGGTTTAAATTAAGTCAGAAGTGGCATTTAACCATGAACTTAAAATTTAAGTCAAAACTTTTCGTTCTTTAGTTTTGGACTTTGGTTATTTTAAAGTGTGGTTCTCTACAAAAGCCACTGACGCATCTTACTGCGCACAACACTAAACTAGTGAGGTAGGTCAAATAGGCTTGTAAGGCGTAGTACAGTAAAAATTCTGGCCATTTACGTTAACACCGCGCCGGCAAAGGATAGGTAAGGGTTGGGCCGTTGCTTGCCCTACATCACTAAGGCAGTGCAAGGGGTGGGTCCGGTTCGAATTCAAATTGACCCTAGTCCACCATGACTGCAGGAAAAAATATAGGAATTATAAAAATTAAACATTTTTAACTTTAAACAACTACAACATCTTCCATATTATTGATCAAATAAAGGGTTTAAAGGTATCGTTGTGAACCTAGCATTGCCATCTTTACATAGTTAGTCACTTGAAATTACGCTGACAGTCCCTTGAAGCCATGAGGAAAAAATTCAAAATATGTTTAAATTTTGTCTGGTTGTATAAATGTGACATAATCTTTAGAATGTGAATATGTCAAGACAGTAATATAGGAACGTTCATCATTCAATATTCAATCCTTTAACACACACTGGACCAAACACACTTAAACATTTTTCTATCTGAACTTTCCCAGTTTAGCAACCTAGCGTGATCATATTTAAAACAAATTCTTTTCACAAACTCTGATTTTCAAGCCTTATATTTTTGCAACCTAATGTCGACGATCTTTGATATTTCAAACTTTGAATTCTGTTAGATCAAATAATCTAAGTATGAAATATTCTAGGTATACCCCATTAGGTTTCAAAGACAAAGGGATCAAAATATTTTTGTTTGTGACAAAAACTCCGTTTACTAATAAAACAAGCAAAAAATTACATATTAAAATGGGAATATTAAAAATGGTAAATTATTCCACGCACCTCTGCCCCTTTAGTAAAAGTAAATTCAACCTACATGAAGCATAAAGTCTGCAGACCGCGTCAACCTTGTTGCACCGGCTAGTTCTGTCCATAGAGCTAGGTACAGTACAAAATGGGAACTGCCCGTTATTGGGAACACTTACTATAAAATATTTCTCACAAATCTAAGATTTAGACTTCGTAAAAGCATTTGATGTTAAAGATTTAGATATGAATTTAGTATTTTATTTATTTGAAACTGTTTTCATGTTTATATAATGGTTTGTGAGTGAGGAAATATGGATTTATGCATTGAAGATACGGATTTCAATAAACATCAAATCTTAAACTTGAAGGGTGAGGTGGGTTTTTACCTTTTAAAGAGTTATTACTGAATTTTAATGAATTTAATGAACTATCTACCCCCGGTTCAAATCTTGAATCAATGATTTAAAGTTAAAGAATCATGAACATTTGAATCGGGGGTAGGTAGTTAAGCGACCTCCCCATGAATCATGAAATGCAGTCCATGGATAATGGATATTCTTTTATAGGAACCTATATTAGGGAAAACTTAAACTGAAGGATTACACACATTATTCTGAAATTTAGAAGTTTCTACTATGGATATCAAGATCAAGTCTTGTAGTTCACCCCTACTTTACACAAAACTGTTGATCTCTAGTTAATTAGTAAGCTTTAAAGGGACTGTGAGTAGGGTTTCCACTCGCAAAACGTTTGCGCAATTTTTGCTGAACGAAACGCAAAATATTTCTTTCTTTGCGCATCAGTTTTACGCGAAAAAACAACAATTTGCGCAATCATTCGCAAAAGTCATTTCGCGCAAAATTGCCCTATTCCGCTTTTGCAAAACTCAAGTTTTGCGCAATTCCGCAACTAGAGTTTTGCGCAATTCCGCAATTTCGTAAAAATCAAACGGTTGGTGACGGTGTGTGTTTCTTAGAATTCAATTCTGGAAAAATCTTGTTTTGGAATGTCTTCCTATTGGTCACTTTTACATAATTGACCAAT